TATGTACTTCTCAGGTACACCTTTCAATGACAGACACTGCCACAGAACCTCTCGGTCTACAGAGTCAACTGCTGCTTTCAAGTCAAGAAAAACTATCATTGGCGGACGCCAATAAACATGTTTGTGCTCTAAAACTTGACGAATGGTGAATATGTGGTCGATGTAGCCACGACAAGGTCTGAAACCAGCCTGATTTTCTCGAATTTGCAGTTCACGAGTCTTAGTTAAGCGCCCGATAATTATTGAGGCTAGTATTTTAGATGCTATGTTAGTCAGACTAATCCCTTTATGGTTATCACAGGATGATTTTGGCCCCTTCTTATATATTGGGACAATCAGAGATTGTGACCAGTCAGATGGGATTACGTCCGTATCCCAGATTTTAGCCAGAATATTAGTCAACCTAAACGCAGAAATTGGACCATCATATTTAAAGACCTCTGGAGCCAATCCATCTGGACCAGCTGCTTTTTTCGTTTCAGATTACTTATAGCCTTTTGAACTTCAAGTAGGGTCGGGGGGCCTACTTGAATGTCCCATTCAGACTGTTTGGGAATGGTGGGTAGTTGTGCAGTAGCTGAAAGCCAGCTAAACTGCTCCTTAAAGTGTTCCGCCCATCGTTCTAAACGTTTGGGTTGAGAGCAGATAAGGGTTCCGTCTTTTTCGGAGATTGTCTCACTTACACTTGACTTCTTAATTCCGGTTTCTTTTATTAGTCTGAATAGTTGCCTGGTGTTCCCTACAGCCGCTGCCTTTTCCATCTCTTTTGCTTTCGTTGCCCACCACTGCTCACGATCATTCCTTAGACTTTTAGTTAACCTAGATCTAATTTCTTTACGCTCTTCGTCATGTTCAGAGCCTGATGGGATGAGTTTACGCGAATCCATCAGTGAAATAGACTTAGAAGAAATCCATTGGTTTTTTGGAGCCCTATGGTTTAAATGACTAATAGATGTTACTGCTGTTTCCACAGCTGTTCGTATGTCTTTCCAAGCAGCATCTGTGTCAGTCTTGTTTACAGAACTGCCTAGATGTGAACTCAGTTGTTTCTGGAATTCGCATTTGGCTCTCTCGTCCTCCAGTTCAATCCTAATGGGTCTTCTTAGTGTAGTTTTCCTGCGCCCAGTGAGGCGCAGACAAATGCGCGCTCGTATTAAAGCGTGATCAGAGTCTAAACAAGTATTCCAATACGAGCGACAACCTTCTATTGAGCCTCTCCAACGATGACTGATGACAATATGGTCTATTTGAGTCCATCGTTGGTTTGGTGCAGGTGGTCGCCATGTTAGACGATGTCTCTCCTTATGTTTAAAATTAGTGCTTGCTAAAAATAAACGATTGTCTGAGCATAGTTGCAACAGGCGATCACCATTATCGGTTCGTTCAGCCGGAATACTAAAACACCCACCTAAATGTCTTTCTGTTTGATTCAAGCTGCCTACCTGGGCATTAAAGTCACCCGCTACGACTACTATGTCTGAGCGCTTAGCTTTCTGAAGATTCTCAGAGAGCTTTCTGTAAAAGTCATCTTTCACTTCATCATGGCTGCAGTCGGTGGAAGCGTAGGCAGAAACGACGAAAAGGCAACGACGTGTGTCCCTATCCTTCCGAGTTCTTACGGAGCCATTTAGCCGGACAGCACACAGGCGACTGTTAACGGGGATCCATTCTAATAGTGCCTGTTCTGCCCTTGTACTTAATGCTATGCCTACACCTGCAATTTCACGAGAACTAGCCATAGGGTCGCCAGATACACGGAGGGTGTATTTCGTTGGCTGTCCATTTTGGCAAGGTGAGGTCAAGTGAATGACCACACTGGGATCCTGTATGCGTGTTTCGGAGACACAGCATACATCAATGGTACGAAATTCTAGGGTTTTAGCTAAGGAGGCCTGTTGACCGATTTGGCATAGGGTACGTACGTTGAAGGCTCCAATGTGTAGTTTGGAGCGAGGTTTTAGTAGACCTGGGACAGCGTTTCGCGCACTAGAATCGTTGGCCATGGTGACACTTGAGGAGGAAACCGAAAGAGGAAGTTTAGTGTTGAAAGTCAAGGTAGAAGGAATAGTAGGAATTGAAGGAGAATGATTATGAATACAGTGGTCTTGAGTGCTGTTAGAGGTATGAGGGCAATTATCACTTCCCGGTTGCCCACACCGTGGAAGGGTTCTTCTGGGGGTACCTGAAAAGGAAATTGGGTTAGAAGTGGTCTTAATGACCTGAGAGCGTGACCGCAGTGCCCAAGGGACAACTGCTTGAGGTCGGTCACACACGACCTTTTTGTGGGTAGTTTTTGTGTTAGCTCCGTTCTTCAAAAAAAAACCTTACCGCCGGAGACGGAAATCCGTGGGATAAGGCGAGGTGTGCATTTTTAGGGTGGACCTTTTCTAACCCCACCCCTCCTTGTGGGAAGGCAGCATCGCTGTCATGCTGGTTGTCTGAAGGAAACACCTTACTGCCGTCACACCTCTGTACAGTCGGCAGTACGACTTCGCCTTCGGACCTTGGGTTTACTGCTTTTAGTCTCACCGCTCTTCAACCGACCTGTCTGGCATGGTAAAACCTCGAGGAACGATTGTTCCAGCCAGCATAGCTCGGTTGCTTCATCACGATAGGCAAGCCCGACCACCACGTCAATGTAGCAGCAACGGTCTAATAACGGCCTAATAACATCAAAGAATCGGATAAATATCGAATTAAAAAGTTCAGTTATCATGGAATACCAGGGGATTTATAAAATCGTAAGCTGAGCATGGGCGACTAAACTGGAGTTCAACGAAAACCTTACACGAACTTTACGAGGTAAATATATATCAAGCAGTTCGTCACCTACTGATCTTCAGTGCAATTAAATAGAGAAATATAGACCCTTAATAAAGTATTTACTAAAATATTATACTAACTGGTTCATCACAATTTAACATTACTTTGTAGTCAGGTGGCCATGGAATGCTGACTGCTTTTTCAATATTTTAGAAGTCTCAACCGTAAATATACAAAACCTTTACTCCTCAAAAAAGGATTGTTTAATCATTTTGATGGATATGAGGGCCTTTTAACAGTTTCTGAAAGTTTAAACACATTGAAAAGTAAATATGACATGGAGGTTCCATAGAAACTCACTATAATAAACAGGAAGGAGTCACTGATGATTTATGAACTTTAGCCTCAATTCAAAAACTACGACAATGATCTGTTTTTTGATTAAAATTATCAAGCAAACAATCTATCCAGGAGACGCTTATTTAGTTGAACTAGAAACAACTGAAAGTGTTGAAATAGTAACAGTATAATAGGAATGATTACGACTGCTATTACCTAATACATGTATCATCGTCTTCTGAATCCCTATCACCTCACTTAACACCATAACTTAGATCTGCTACAAGATGTTAGCAAAAGCAATAAAAAACACTTCAGCGCAATGCGAAAGCTGCAAACTGTAACGTAACAAGTCGGGCACAAAACCCACCATGTAGTATTACAACATGGATAAAGTATTTCTCGAGTGAAATAATTGGGTTCATATGACTTTCCAAAAGATACAAGTTTAGACATTCGAATTTGAGCTAAATATTCTCTGAAGGGTAACGATACTACCCGGGTGCACAAACGAAAATACAAGTTGTTGTAAATGGACCCGAGACTTAATGGTTAGAACTAGTAATTGAATAACCAAACTACCACTCCAGGGAAGTTACGTGGAGAAAAATATAAGGAAGTACGGTTAGAAATAACTTATTTGACTATCATAAGTTTTGTACGAAATTCTATTGGGAAACAAAATTTGTAAACACATCTTAATACTTGTAACTATCGAAAGCAATTAAGTCCAAGACATACTGTGGCGGACAAGGATTTACAAAAAGTCTACTTCCATGTAGCTGTCCTGGGTTCTGGGAGGAAAGTTGGTATTTGTACACATAAACAAACATAAATGACATAAAACCTAGCACATGTGCCTGTCTGCCCAAATTTCTACACTTAACATCATCAAGACGTGTAAAGATAGACAAACAAAACTAATGATCCAAACCTAGCAAAGTTCCTGCATACTGTTTTCACTGAACACGAGTAGTTGTCATAAAACACCCTAAAAGAATGCATAGGTTATATCCTGTCAATGATTTCCAACCATAAAGTAATACGCAATGTATGATTGCATAGCATACTACCCTTTCAATAAGCATATAGATATTCTGTCTAAATTACAAGCAAACTGTTGAAGTTCGAATTATATACTAGTATTGTTGCCAATATTTGGCTAAAAGTCGACACAGAAAGGTGAATGAATTCGAGTAAAATGATCAATATAATCAACTGATTCACATTCTACTGTAGAATAGGAAAGGTTGCAAAAGAGTTTCTTTCGTTACTTGAGATGATAAAAGCCCAGTTGAGGAAACATATTGACCAGACAAAAACAAGTGGCCTTGCTAGCTAAATTTTGAGTCTATGAATGGGAAGTAAAAGCATTTGTTGACTGATTCCCGTATTGAAAGAAAAACTTAAGGATGGTTTTAAGGAAGATATTTAGTTTTATGTACATTTAAATGTTGGTCAGAAGAGGTACATTTTAACACATAATGTAGGGGTCGAGGACAATGTGCTCACATTTAGCGTACACTTGGAGCAAACTATTCAGATCTATTTTTTACGAGCTAGTAGATACCAACCGATATTTTTGAGCTTTTACTGTGCCATTTGAGAGTGATTACACGTTTTGCCCATGGAAATTCAAGGCAATCTTTACCAAATAGAGGCTGAGAATTTTTTTATCTATTGAATCTTGAAATTTTCTTTGGATTTAGGAAACTACAGCATTAATGTTGTCCTCAGTTAGTATTTATTGGAAACAACGCACCAAAAGTCTGTTTATGTTGGTCAAAAAAATTAAAATTGTTCTTTCTATGTATGTTAGTCATTATTATAAACGAGAGCAGCGTTCACATAGTTTCATAGTACAAACGAGTGGATTACCACAGCTACTCTTCACAAACCTTGTATCTTGCGCCTTACAACCTGAAATCTATGACCTGATAAAGTCCTTGAAGTTATGCATTCTCAGTAAATAAACGACACATTTTGCCTACTGTTGACGCAAATGAAATTCATTTTTTAAGCAATTTGAATTCACTTTGCATCTAAAGATGAGATTAATTTTGGCTGAATTCATTTGTAAAATCTGGTGGTTATCAGATATTTAGGACAGTTTGATGATGTCAGGTACATTGATCTAGAACCATGAAGTGTTCGAAGACATTTCGGATTAGGTTTTTTGAGAACTAACTGCTAAATAATCTATCTGGCCTCCTCTGGATGACAAGCAGATTCAATCAAGTATGATCAACTTTTGTGGGCTAGTATATTATTATTGAGCCCTAGAAAACTGATCTATCAAGCAGAGCTGTTTCCTTTTTATAGCAGGATCAATCCTAGTGCCGCTTTGCCACAGCCATATTTAACTGATGGTAGACTATTTCAGTGACATCACTAACTACTGACAATAATTCCTATCCAGATAAACTAACCAGAATTTCTCCAGAAATGAGTAGTGGTAAATAAATCTCGAAAACAAATAGTTCTGTAAGTTTTAAATGTTGAAGACCTAGTCATATTGACTTTCTTTCCGAACAGTAGAACGACACAAGCCCCACAACTGCGATAGCATTCTCGATTATGAACGACCATATTAAAACTCTGCTAACGTCCTATATCCGCCCCAAAACAACCCACTCTGGAAGAACGTTAATGTTTCTAGAACACTTGAAACACTACTGCACATAGGAAATCGTCTAAGTTTTCTTTTTTTGGGTTTTTGTCTGACAACCACTTGGCTGTTTTCTCAGTATTTTCAAATTGTCGAGTCGCGCATCCCTTCTTCTCTCAAGTGTGGGTGAATTTCGACAAGCACTTACATTTTCCGTTTTTTTCCTTTTCCAGGACGATTGGAAAAGATGAGAAACCTTCAAAAAATATGTTGTACGAAATTTTTATCATTTCCACGACTCCTTATACTCGAAAAAGATGACCGGATGCTCCTGAACATTGCTAGTTATCAAAAAGAATGTTTACCGGTGGCAAACTCATTTGGTATAAACTTTTAGTGGGTGGTATCTTAAGGTCATTCTACTACACTAGAGGGAAGTGATCCGTAGCTTTAATCAAATCCCAATCATGAACGGTTCAGTCTGTCCTCGAAATTGGTTCTGACTTCATTAGTTTTACACCATACACCCTGGCTGAAAACTTTCGGTCACACATCCGCATCCGTCGTATTCACTGAAACAACAAGTCAGCTTAAACCAAACGCTTCTGAACATATGGGCAACTTCCAAATGATTCATCTATGACTTTTAGTCTGACTAGGTTTGTGGCTCTTGAATATAAAGATGTTGAGAACAAAACCGTTGTCAAACCCTGGATATCTGTGGTACGTTTGAATCATTATACGAATATCTCAGAAATAATGAAGTTGGTGACAAAGGTAGTACTCCAAATTATGTAACTACAATACGTCTTTTCTATTTTGTCATGCACAATTGTAGAGGTTCATCTAATATATGCGAGCTAATAAAGGCTCCAGTTAAAAGGAACCCGCTACAGTAAATCAAAACAAGCGGTTCAAACATGCAATATTCTTTGACAATTTCATTTACCTCCTTCATTCCTTGATCATGATTCATTAAGGTCAACCAGACTAATCATTTATATCGTAGTATTTTCCGCTTCCATTAAACACAATGAAATTGAACGAAATCATTGTGACAGCCTAGGTTACAATATCTGGCCTGAACTCAGAGGATCAACGAATCAAAGTTTATTCGATTAAACCCAACTACTTCCCGCTGTGAAGCGCACAAAATCTTTTGGGTCACTCTTATTGGATTATACCAAAACACAAACTTTGTGCCCAATTTTAATGGTTCCAATTTAGTGGAAAAAAAGAATTATATCAAGGGTAAAAAAACATCCTTCACCGTGCTGTCTATGCTGTACAATGGAAGCCTTTTCTGGTCCAATATTGATTGCAATACAAAAAAGAATTGTCAGTCACCAAGTGGTAGACATCTAAGAATCCATGAAAATATTCTCAACAAGCGTGATTAAATATCGTCTGAAATATTCCGAACAGCTGCTCTGGGCAAGCAGTCAAATAGTGATAATGATTAATCGTTCCCACGTGTCGTCATGAATTCATCCGAACACGATTCTGCTGTAAACAGCCAGCCGCCATACAATAACAGAATCAAATGATAAATATAGATCTCAACCAAATTCAAATAACAAAAACTTAGTAGAATAAAATTTTGAAACATTAGGCCATAGTTATACTATTTCTGAGTAGAAATTATAATGTAAGGCAGGGGAGAGACTGAAGAAATAACACTTTCTTCCAAAAACATTTAGGAGGGAATTTCACGGTGTTATTCTGTTACACAGGGACAGTTAAGAAGTTAAAACATGGGATCTCGCGCACACGTTACATTTTGTCGAAGATCTAGGATGTCGTTTTTTACCAGCCATTAACAACATTTTACTTACTTAACTTATCTGAGAAAGAAAAATTGAATGAGTAACAATTTACATCGATAGACTATTCTGCTTGCTTTCTGAATATATACAGGAACTATGTATAACATCACTCTAAGTGCCACAATAATTATTTACATTTTCTTCATAAGTACCACGATGCGTGTTATTTTTAGGCATGGTGACTAAACCATGTCTTAGTTAATACCAGTTTATTAAGTGAACTAATTTCTGTAATCAGAATCTGCAGCCACTGACCAAATTTTAGAGAAATGTATATTGACGAGTGATATCTAAATACTGCTTACTAATAATGCAATTAATGTGTGTGAACAGTGAATTGCTAATAATATTACGAACGTTGTAATCGGATTTTTTTTCTCAGATTTCATACTACTGATATAAGGTTTTTGAATCCCTTTATTTGGTGCCTTCAGTTTGTTAACACCAAATAACTTCAGGAAATTCTAGGAGGGTTGGAAGATGAAGAGGATTGTTTACAATAAGCAAGATACCTATAAGTACTGCCTGTCAGCTGTCACGTTTATTTGTCTAATGAATTATCTTAATATAAATATAACAACTGTGCAGTCTTTTGCATTATAAATCTTGTTGGTATGTATAATTATAGTCTTGTTCGATATCAATATTACTTTGATGATAGGCCTAATCCCAAAACGGTGAATGCATCATGGTGCGATTGCCTATTATGTAAAATCTTACATGGAGGCCACATCACTGACTTCACCGACTCATTGTATCGTAACAATTAACAATGATACTTAGTACTACAAGTTTTCGTGACAAAACGGGTACTTATAAGGCAAACATTTAGTTGTTTTAATTTCCACAAATAGTTGCCTGTTATGATTATCGGTATATCTCCCCATGAAACTTCAAAAAAGACGTTTCGACTGTTGAAAGTGTTACTGGTTTAGATATTTTCAAACTCCAAGTACTTGTGGTAGGTTTGTACTAATTCCTTTCAGTATGCAAGACAAAAATGATAGAATGCTCTGCGAATTGAACAAGAGGCTTGAACTCCCTAGAATAGAGCCTTTGACGGTCACACGGCTCACTCGGGGGAAGGACTCTAACCACTTAAACCACCCGAAGCTGCTTTGTGTTACACTTAAGAATGCCCCCGACGTAGAGGACGTCGTGCTAGCCAGTCACTTACTGAAATCCGATGGTAACGTAAGAATACTGCCCGACATACCGTATTCTGAACGAAATCTCATCCGGAACATTCCTAAGGAATCTCTCGAGGCGTTTTTCCATGGAAGAAATATCATTGTTCAAGGTGTGCCGGAAAATATGGACCCAACTCAAGCAAACTCTGATATTCGGGAATGGAAATTCATTAAGCATTCCTTAAAACTCAAGAACATATTGACCCATTAGGTGATGCGACTAGCCAAAAGAGACGGAGACTCTAGGCCCCGGCTATTGAAGATAACCTTCCCCTCCTCCCACATGGCTGCTGCAACTCTGGAAGCATTTCGTGCCAATAGACGTCGGTCGCCAACTGGCATCCATATGCATCCGGATGGGCCCCACGATAGCAGGATCAAACACAAACGAAAGCTGGAGCTGACAATTCCACTCGTGGACTGCTTAGATCATAAAAAAAACTTGTAAAGAACAGGGACTACCAACTCGGTAAACATTGTATAAGTAGGCTACCAGTCCACTCACGCACGGCTCATATAGATACACAGGAAGAAGCTCACGCGTTTCAAATTGAAAGCATAAACTGCCTATACATGCACGCCGCGAGCTTGCCAAACAAAATGGATGAGCCACGTGAACTTAGAAACGCTAATGATGCACATCTGATAAGAATATCCGAAACTTGGTTAACGTCTCAGTTTGCGGACCAGGAGTTAGCAATAACTGGGATGTCTTTATTTCGCAACGACAGAAAAACAGGAATGGGAGGTGGGGTATTTCTATGCGTATGGTCATGCCTGGATGTGCACCAACTTTACAACCAAGAGTTTCTCAATCTTGATGAGTCAGTATGGTGCTCAGTAAGATAGTCTACCGCCTCGAGGTGTCTAGTTGGGGTCATCTTCAAGAAGCCTACTGCCGACATCAAGTATGACAATCGTCTGCTGGAAGGATTAACTCACTCTACGCGTCTCGGATTCTCTCAAATCCTGATTCTAGGGGACTTCAATATTCCTAGAATCAACTTTGTGGAACATACATACATTCGAGGTGACAACTCTACTGAAGCTCTGTTCTTCAATCTCATCGGTGACCTGGGATTATTCGAAAATGTGAAGTCGGCAACCCGTTGGAGAAACAGTCAGACGCCGTCGCGCTTAGACTGGGTATTCACAAATAAAGAATTCCTAGTTGACGTCCTCTCCATCCTGGCTCCCCTGGGGAAAAGTGATCACGCCATCTTATCATTCAGCTTTGTCAGCAAAACGGAGCTAAGATATCCCATTAGCAACAGGCACTGGAATTTCAAACGGTTGAATGTGTTCGCTTTACAGGATTATCTACAACAGGTGGATTGGGATGTTCACCCTCAACTTAATGTGGATGCTCATTGGGATTTTTTACTGCACACGATCTTATGTGCTACTGAGCATTCAGTTCCTCAAACGGTCCCAAAAAGCTACAAACAACCTCCAATCATCAAGAACCGCACTCGTCGTTTGCTAAGCTGCAAAAGGCACTGTTGGGCCGAATATAAACGAACCGATAATAACGACGCATACAGGCAATACAAACACATAAGGAACATATGTTCAAAGGCAATAAGAGAAGACAGGCTTCAGTTCCAGACCAAGCTTATCGATAGATTCGTCTCCAATCCGAAAAGCTTATTCAGTTACGCAGCTTCTCTTCGACAAGGCGAAACTGGAGTTTCCCAACTGCTAGGTCCTCATGGTCCGACCAATAACGACGGTGATGCCGCTAACCTTTTGGCTGAACAATACTCCCAGACATTCCAGCCGACCCACATAAACTATACTGACGAAAGCTTCACCTGAACCTGTACAGGACTTTCCGAAGTAGACCTGAGTGCTGACCTGGTGCTCCGCAAATTGCAGCACCTAAGAAAAGACACTTCTCCCGGTCCGGATATGATTCATTCTGCTGTATTGAAGGAAGCAGCTTCAATCCTGGCGACACCACTTAGCGTGATGTTTGCACACTCGCTAAGCAGAGGCAAACTACCGGAAATTTGGAAGCTGGCTCACATCACACCAATTTTCAAAGGAGGTCGACGCAGTGAACCCTCAAGCTACCGACCAGTCGCCCTTCTCTCTATACCTTCCAAAATTATGGAATCCCTAATATACGACAGTACACAAGAATACTTATCATCCTTAAAGTTCTTCTCACCTCAACATCATGATTTCAGAAAAGGTCATTCTTGTATGACCAACCTGCTGACTGCGGTGGATAGATGGACAACCATCCTTGATCGCAAGGGGAAGATTGACGTCATCTACCTGGACTTCTCAAAAGCTTTTGATACGTTCAACCACGTATGTCTTATCAAGAAGCTTGGACGATTGGGTATAAAACCCCCTTTAATTGATTGGCTCTTTTCATATTTAGAAAACCGACACTTTAAGGTCAGGGTTAACTTCACTCTCTCTCAGGCTATGGAATGTCCTAGTGGGGTCCCCCAGGGTTCAATACTAGGACCTCTTCTCTTCTTGATTTACATTAACCATCTTCCTCAACAAGTTTCATCTGACTTATTGCTTTCTGCTGATGATGTGAAACTTTGGAGAGAGATACATAATCATAATGATATACTAGTTCTTCAGGAGGATCTGATCCGACTTCAAAGTTGGGCAGACGACAACGGACTTACCTTCAACACTCCAAGGTGCAAAGTAGCCCATCTGAGACATGTTGCAGACTATAGTTATAACTTAGGTAACTCCCCTCTAGAAGTTTCCCAAGTCGATAAAGATTTGGGAGTGTTGGTACCCTATGACCTGAAATCGTATGCGAACTGTGACAAAAATGCCTTTCGAGCAAACTTTGCACTGGTAACATTGAAGCGCATTTTTGGCCAGTTTGACAGTAAAACCTTACACATAATCTTCAACAGTTTTATTCATCCCCATTTACAGTACGGAAATATGGCATTTCCTCCCTCCCTCCAAAAGGATAA